TGCGTAGGATGGCATAAATATCTTTTTGTTTTAAACACTAAATTCGGATTTTTCTGAGATATCCTCACTAAAATCACTTGTAACTAAAGGTCCGAATATCATAAAATTTTAGCATATTTTACTTGAAGCTTAATACTATCTAAAAATAGTATGGATTCGCTAATAGTGGCTACATCTACTCGTAACCGTATCTAATTGTTGAGTGAATTGTTCCGCGCTCGTTCTTCTTATCATATCTCGTTATGTTATCCGCTATTTTCCGTTCTTGATCTATGCAGCATTTCTATATTATAATAGCTACAAAGGTTATACCTTATGGCATAGGATTTTTTAATTATTATTGCTACTACTGTCCCTAGCAATTCTGCCATGGAACTTAGACTTGAACTACATTTTACACGTATACTTGAAATATGCGCTCTATGGTAAAAAGTAATTTGTCAATTTGTAATTCATAATTTCTTCTTCTTTTTCTAAAGCTATTCTCCTCTTCCAATGAAAATAAATATATAAATAAAATAACTTAACGTCTTTAACACTTCGGAGTCACGTGCAATATGTTTTACACTCGAGAACACAAATCTAGTGCTCTTTCTCTGCAAGAAATTGAATCGTTCCACTCCGTACGAACCCTTAAAATGTAAGTATCATGGTAACTTACTATGCATACAATACATCAAAGTAAGAACGTGCACTATAAATAATAGTTAGTCAAAAGAAGAAAATCAATAAACAAGTCATAGGTTATTTCATTTTTTCATACGTCACTTTTCGAGCGATATTGACTTCTTTAAAGCGTTTATGAAAATAATAAATATTGCCAGATATACGATTCCATTTCCTCTGACAGCTCTTACAAAAGCGACATGGAACATAAATGTGCCATTACAAGAACAAGTATTCGCATTGAAAGAAAAATAAAAGGAAAACGAAATACATGAAAAGTATATACGATAAAGACATCAAATTCAAAATATAATTTATATAAACTCTCAAGGGAAAAATTGCTCATTTCATCGTAATGCAGAAATGCGTAACATCAACTTTATGTCAGGGTACCAGATACCCTTCATGTGAAAAGTGTTTGAAATCATCCAGGACAAAAATAAAGAAGTTCGCAACGCCAGCACAATCACCGAACGTTAATAGCGTAAAGAAGAATTGAGTCAGAGTTCTCTAAAACTTCATTGGTGGAATATATTGGAAATGAGAATGAAATTATGAAAATTATAACCCCCTTAACTCTGGCTGATCTCACATAAAAATCTAACAAATTCTATGAACTTTGCAAACGACCTTAGAAGCTCACAATTTTAATTTAAGAAAATATATATTTTGCACAAAACCGAAACATATGATAGATAAATTTGAGGAACCTGCAAACTAAACCATCTAAAAATAAGAGCGTAAGATGTATTCCCTACAACGGGCTGACGAAGGGAATCAATAAAATTACGTAATATCGGAGCCAATCCGTTCGTCGTGACAACCAAATCAGAAGTACTAGATAAAATTCGAATACTATTTACGGCAATATAGTTTGGTTAACATTTGTTTTAACACGATGAGCATATGGTCAATATTTTTACATAGTGCAATTCGAAAAACCACAGCAAAACATGAAAACACTCATCGTTTGTAAATTCATCTTAAAAATTACTTTTTTAGGCTTTTCTAGAATTAAGGTGACTGTGAGAGGGTCGATCGCAACTAAATATAGATTTCTTACTCGTTTCCCATGTTTTCTCTTTTTTTGAATTTATTTCTCACCAATTTTTCTGAACGAAACAGAATCGCATCAACTTTATACCATTGAGCCGTTACATCTGGTCCGAGCGCAGGATCATATGTATATATATATAAGTACATAAGTATATATATGTATGTAGGTATATACATACCTTACGAAAACAGATTCTTAGTGATTCAGCATTACTTGCACCAAGAAAGAGGAGATTTGCCGTGGGTTTCTTCTTACTAGCCAAGTTAGTAAACGATATCATCGGCTCGCTATTACTTAACCTTTATTGTAGCAAATTACTTAACCTTTATTGTAACAAATTATTAAATCTTTTTGAATATTTATATAATCTATATCAGCCGCCCTTATGAAGTGAGAGAATATATCCATTCTGTTGAAAATAATGGATTCTTTTCGAAGCCTATACTTCTTCTTATTACATTTAGAAATAATCATCTTGAGCGATTGATTGACTTTTATATCTCTTGCTTAAAATCGCATGCGACTTGCTTGTTAGTAATTTAGCTAATGCTCATTCTTAGCTATAAGACTTTCTTAACTTTCAAATATCCTTTTCATCGAGTGACTCGCTATTATTTGGCCAAACCCAGAAATAAGACCATAGCATGATATTCACGAGAAAATATCTGCTGACTCAAGTAATGCACTTTATTAGCAAAAATTAATAATAATATAAATGATTAACACCTGGAGAACAGGAAATATTTATTAGGACCTTGGGTGTGATTTTACATATACCAACTGTTACTATTGGAATTCAAACCAGCTTTTATAAGAATCTATGCAACGTTTATGCCAATTCCAGACAGATGAACTTTTGAAAACTTTACTGCTTTGTTTTTAATGTCTTCATGTTTTACGGACTGATGGATCTTACTTACTAAAAGTTGCACGCGCTACGTTTCGACGTTCTATTTCAAAACTCAAACTTTTGGAAATTCCATAACATTGGATAAGGAATGTTTGACATGTTTGGTGGTTTGGTTCCTTATATTCACATAGATGGCCAAAGTCTACTTTCGCACTCTCTAAGCATTGAGAGTAAGTTACCGCAACAACCAGATTTTTTAACAACTTTTTGCTTTTATTTGCAATTTTGTTCAAAGCAATATAATTTTGAAAAGATATCGTAAAATTTTCGAAAATGCGCGATTTAAAAAAGTACAAAGTCAAAAGGTGTTCAATACAGTTTTGCGACATATGGGGCAAGAATCCTTCACGTTTAACCATTCATATACGCATGCTGAGTGAAAGACATGCTTGCACGGCAACTTCCACAAGGAATCGCCTAATTCGTACCTGATAAGGCATACTGCACATATCGGTTGTTCATCTTCACTTGCTATGTGCTCGTATTTAAACAAACAGCATGTCTTCAAGACGGCATTTTGATAAAGAGGAGGAATTCCTGCTGTGCTTTCCATTGTTTGTACATATTCCAGGAGATGATTAATACTATTCGTTAAATTTTCTAAAGTAATGGAACCATTAGATCCGCTCATCTCCTTTGATTATAGGTTTAGGCTATGCTCATCAAACACACGTTATATATCAAAGCTAATAAAAATTTGTTTTATTTTTTTTTCTGTTCCAACATGTCAACAAGCAGTAACTAGCAGATGACAGACGCATGAGTTTCTAATTCTATACATTTCAAACGGTATGGTCTGATTCAAGTGAATATTGAGCGACTCTAGGCCACTTTGGCTAATATCAGTTTTGTAATAATACAGCAGCGACTATACTTTTTTTTTCATTTAAAGGCATACTTTTTATGACAACCGTTAGACGAAGTAGTCGGTCGTCGGATTAGCTGCTGTTAATTTTTATGCCGAACTTTCTCTTATACAATAATTTTATTCATAAAATATTTGAAAATAGGCATTTTTGTTACATATATATCTATTTTTCATGAGGCAGTGTCCAAAGAATAAACCTATGCGGTTGCATGTTAATGCCGTTACTTTTTTATTTCAAATCAGTAATATTATGAACAGGTTTTCGTAATGAAACTGTATTTCTCATAAGAACCCTTGTATACGACGAAATCAGAAAAATAAACCTTATTGTTTAATTGGGTTCCAAGTGGCGTGGCAACCCCCAAGAACCAAAAACCTAACTCGTCAGCCGGAAGACAACGGAAAGTTCCACTGCCAGAAGTAATTGCCAGCAGCCATCGCTACTCCTCGCTCATGCAACTCGTTAGGTTGAACACCGTCGCCGTACTCGCGGCGTAGAAAGAGGCTCAGTATGCTTAGCTAACAGCATCGCTATAAAGCGGTGAAAGATAATGGGATTACTGTGTCAATATTTGTGGCGAATGTAGAAAAAAATTGTCCGTCCTGTCATCCGCCCGCCGGCGATGGTGGTGAAGAAAACTATAACAATGACCCACCCTATTGCCATTACTGGGGTGGACTTACTTCACTGTTGAAGTCGTGCAGTTTGAAGGAGTCACAGTTACTCCCGCCCGCATTGATACTGGGTCCAAATTTGATGCAGTTAGGTTTATATTACTCACAAAATATTAAAAATGGTACCTTACGGCCTGTTTTTAAACTTATTCTTCAGCGATTTTTGTCGAAAGATTTTGAAAATTGCAATGTTCATCTCCAATTGTTGCGATGTTTACTATTAGCGTATATCTACAGTTTGATGTGGTAGAAAAGAAAAACGCCCATCAGCTGTTAAGTCACACGAACATGGCGACTAATTCACAAGTCCGCGTCTTAAGACGATCGGACAAATAGCGTGTAGTATCAGCTTTGTGCCAGCGCACGGCGCATTACGTGAATGCGAAATCTTCACACCCTAATAATGGCTACCGTAAATTTTGTTGGATAGAGTACTTAACAATGGAATATAATTGGCGGACATTTGCACGAAAGTTTATTCAGAACATAATTGCAATGCCTAAGCTTCATACTAATTTACTTTGATACGTTTAAATTTTAAAAGGCAGCATTCTTATAATGTATAATGGACAAGCAACCCGTGACGCATTCATTGGCATTCATCGTTGAAGTGTAATTCATATATTTCAAGGGAAGTCCAAAATCGAAAAAAATTAAATAAATAAAAAAATTTTGTGTAAATACTAAGAAAAATCAACTGAATAAATTATTCAGATTCAATGGAACAGCATCTGATCGTTAACGATCTCGCGTATATTGTTTTGATTAGCATATATACTCAAAACTTCTTCAAGATTATTATAAAAAATAATTACTAATAAGACATGTGCACTGCCTTTGCATCTGGAATTATTCATATGCGTCCCATATGCATGTTACCCCGAAGTGAAATTCATGATAATTCTGAACCGAAATATTATCCCGAAATCAATTTAGGTAAGGATGGTTTTAATACATCTAACCCGCTATCACGGTACGCAACTACATCGGGTAGTGTTTTACTGCCGGTCGAAGAAAGCGTATTGAAACGCGTTGTACGTACATATTTCGAATATGGGTTTAAAGAAGCCCTTAATGAAGCTACAACAGATGAAACAGCCGCTTGCAGTCCAACAATTTTTGCCATTGCAGAGTTTATATTTAGCGTTATGGCATTTGTGCAATACTTGAAAAGTAAGATATGCCCGTACCTGAAAGAATCAGACATTAACAACATAGCTAATCATGTGGAAACAAGAGATTGGTTGCGCGCCGCTATTAGATTTATTGCTTGGCATCCGAATTGTTTTAAGATTGCTGTAGCCGGTGTGGATGATTGTATACGGATCTATTCGGATGAAGTTTCCATTGTTCCAGTATTAAAGGATGATTCGCAAATATGGATTACCAGCATGGCTTGGCGGCCTTACTGTGCTGCCGAATTAGCTGTAGGATGTCAAAAAGGCATTTGTCTGTGGACAATAAGCAACACAAAACGTATTCCATCTTCTCAATCGCTGATGGTATTCTTGAAATATAATAATCACTGTCCCGTTATCTCTGTACAATGGAATGCGGATGGGAATATATTGGCTTCAGCTTCAATCCACGACACTGACATTTTATTATGGCATATAGATAATATGCAAACCACTCCGTTAAAGCGAATGGGGTCAGCTTGTTCTTTATTAAAGTGGTCGCCAGACGGCTCGTGTTTATTTAACGCTACGTTAGGTAATGTCTTTCGATTTTGGTATATTGAAAACAAATGGCAACCTGAACGTTGGACATTGCCAAAGGGTTATATACAATCGGCGTGCTGGTCACCTTCTAGTCGTTTCCTACTATTTATTACATCAGAAGAGCCATTGCTCTATTGCTTAGATTGTGATGAGGAGCACGTATTCATATCTTCTTCAAGTCAAAAACGGGTTTCGCCTATTGCTGACTTAGCGCAAATCTCCGTTGGAGAACATCAACTAGGTGGCAGACCTCAAGCCTTAGCCTGGGATCCCAACGGCTTATATTTGGCAATAACTTTTCGAGATACAGATTGCGTCGTTCTATTTTCAACATACTTGCAAAAATATAACCTCACTTTATCGCCTATGAAATTCTTAAACGGCATTGGCAACGAATATCCCGCTCACATATGCTTTCAAAGCAAAAATTTTAAAAATTCCAATTCCGTGCTTACTATCGGTTGGTCTGGTGGGTGGGTACAATTTGTCCCGCTGGCGAATATGTAAATTGAAAAGACAATCTGAGTTAATATTAAGAAATGGGTTTTTTTATAAATACTTTTTTTATAATTGGAAATAGATAACGGTAATGAGCATTGAATAATTCTGTTAATAATCGAAGACTTAGATGAGTAACTTATGCGGGCTCGCACACTTATTCACACACCTATCTTTTTAGTAGGTTTGCTTTAAATTTATTCCGCAGAAATTTAACGAGAGTACCGGTGTTAAATTTATTTTCTATATTGATTGCTGTACTCTACCTCATTTGTGATACAAGGACATATTAAGTTTGTGAGCATGTACGCAACATATAGTTGAGCTTAAGATAGATTAGACGGAGCGATTCAGAGATATTTTCTAAATGAATTTAAAATAATCTGTCCGTCCGCCATCTTGTTTTCTTGTGGTCAAGCGGCCGCTATTTCTGACGTAGTTCGATGAAATTTGGTACGCCGATTTGTCTTAGCCCAAGCACAAACGCTGTTCAAAATGATTCGGGTCGGACTACTTTTTCGACTACTTCTCATAGCAAGACTTATTTTGAAAAGTTATTTTAATATTTGGGTCATTCAATAAGTGGGTCATGGCTCAGCATACTGTTCTTACTTATTTCGTTCCAAGAAGAGCTAGATGAATAACTTATATAAATCGCTGATCAAAAGACTTTGTTATTCCAATTTAAAAGTGATGATCATTAGCGAACTTCAAGCGTCGGTACGAAGCTACATATACATAATATTAAGAATTTTCATACGTATCCACCCCCATGTTTACGAATTGATTGAAATTGATCGTGTTTACGTGCTCATCCATGGACGTAAGACGTCTTCCTGATGAATGGGCTTCCATAACCAAACTACCAAGATTTAAAGTCAAAATGACTGAAAATAAGTGAAAGTTTGTAATGGTTTTCAAATGTTCGGGACAAACGTACAAATTGTATTGGATATTTACACACCTGCAGGCTTACGAAAAAATATATTTGAAACTGCATTTTTTAATCCCATCCTTCCATGGATGAGGCGTTCCCCTCGGATAAGAACGCCTCAAAGAAGTGTTTACGGAAGTAAAAGCAGAACTTATGTTAACAACTTAAGTTTTCCCAAACTTGCACCATATGTGGACACACCATGAAATACCGAAATCAGGGGGAAAAATGGGGAAAATTCGATTCTCATCTGTAATACTTCCGACAACAAATGTCAAATATCCCGGTAATTTTACTCATTTAAAAAAAAAGGTAATAACACACTTGTATTATGTGACGAGAATGGATGTAAAAAATGGTCAGAATCCGAAAATAACACCGCAAAGTGAATAATAATATTATAACCCTATATGCGAACAATATGGAATCACTACGATGTTGTTCATTCTTGGGAACTTTCTCAGAACTTCTCTCCCGTATATATTCGTCTTTCGTTAATTTTAATTTTCATAACTAATTTAAGTGTCTGAAGACGTTATTGTTGGTAAATAATATATACAAAATTGATAAAGAAACCGTAAAGATATCACATGTAACATTTGTTCTTTTCGGTATATCATAGTCCTTGACTTTAGATTAGTATTTATAACGGAGAATCGAGGTCACAGAAGATTTAACAAATTTCAAGAACGTATATGGGATGTTTTAGCTCTTATTTTGCCAGGTATTTTTTGTAACGAATCATATGGCGATGTGACTCTCGGTCACTTGCCAGAATACTGGGAATAATTAAAACGTTATTGTCGATTTGTTTATAATTTAAATTCATTTATTTTTCCGAACAAGCTAAATATAAACATAAAACATTATACAGACGCCGTGCCTATGTAAAGCTCAAAAGTGTAAAAGTGATTGAAGGTCTCCTTGCGAGGGGGTTAAGTCTGAGGTTTTAATTGGATGCAATTCGGAAAATAAAAGGAAACTGTATATTCTGTCCCTCTTGTTCTCCCTCTATATTTTTCTATTTCTGCGTCTCCTCCTACTATTGTAAAGCAAGACAGCAGCCCTTCTGCAGTACATATTGTTTACCTATGCGAATTAAAAATGTCTCTGCCACCGTTGCATACATACAATCAAACGTTTTTAGATTATTTTTGGTTTGATAAAAAGTAAATATTTACATGGGGAACTGAATAGCGTAAATTTTCAACACATCCACTTTCAAGAAATGTCAAGAAAAAGTAAAAAAAAAACTCTTTAGTTGCCTTAATTAATTCGTTATCAGATAATTAAATCGTGCTATGTGATTGTTCTTTGAATATTCCGCTATGCGGGATTTGTAATATCTTTAATATTAAATTACAAGTTATCTCCTCTGGTTGCATGGAAGCATGATTACATCTTTAATGCGATTGCAGTAACTACATAGTATGAGCATAATTAGCTTTTTCAAATTCTTCACTCTTTTATTTCCACAAGTTCATTCAGTTCATTCAGTTTGTGCAAGTTTTCACATAGTGCCGACATTAACAACAAATAATGTTAATAACGATTCGGAAAATGAATGTGATGACGTCAATCCACAATTGGAAGCAAAAATCGAATGTAGTGAAGGTACTCGATCGATTTCTCATCCATTTGATCCTTTGGTAAGATAATATGTTAAAAAAGTAAAATTTGTTATGTAAGCCCGGATAGGAAATATGCATAATTCCACATCTATTGAGAATTATGCGTTCTTATGTTGCTATTAAAATTTTGCAAAGAATGTAGTTCAATAAGTGGAGTTTGAGCGAAAAATAATTGCGAAGACGCGATTATTTCAAATGCTTTCGATTAGTGTCGCATGATGAGTTTTCATTGAATACCAGAAGATCAAAAATGACGATTAAACAGACGATAAATGTTTACGCTCTTCGGAAGTACAGGAATACGTACAACAAGGTTAATTCCTAATTCCTGTTATACGGAACCTTTTGGTTTATTTAATAAACCTAAGACATAATATGAAATGGCATAATTTATATATATAGATATAACGTAAATACGCGCCCGTCTGACAAACACCGTGTTATACGAGCGTTGCCTACATATGCTCTTGTCTTAGAAGATATTTATAATGTAAATAAATAAATAAATAAACAAACAAAAATATAAAAATCAGAAACTTAATCTTTAGATAGTTTGTTTACCTTACAATTTAATTGAATTCAATTTAATTCTCAATTCACATATGTTGCTCTCAAACTGAGAAAACTAATTCAAGCAATAAAATAATCTTAAGTGTTATGGAAATGAAATTTTCAATAGTCTTTTGCTTTCATTCCGACAATGCTAAAGGATTTTTCAATTTATTATTTGGAACTTAATTATAAATCATGATTTCACAGTTCTTGTTGCTATCTTGATTGACAACAGACAAATGAATATGTCAAATATATTTTTTTCTCTGCAATATAGTTTTTAACCCTGACACTATCGAAGATGTCAAATGTACAGTATCCATTTTTAAAGAAAGACAATTATTAACTATATTTCGTTTTAGATATATTTTTAATTTTTAATTGAATGAAAAGATCCTTAAATTGATATGCTTCAGTTGCTCCATCTGCTGGCGGAGTTTCCGATCATTTGGATCCCTATTGTGAAAAATCTACAAAGTGAAGAAGTAAGAAAGAAAGTTGAAATTATATGGTAGAAGATAAGACTGAAAATATTCTTACTACTATGTCCACTGGTACTATATACTAGACACACGAAAAAAATTTAAAAGATTTTCTCTTTTTTCAATTAAGTTGGGCCAAAGTGAGATTAGGGATACGATGATTCTCTCTTCCTCATTTGTTCATAGGTCAAACGAAACTACTCTTACGATTTACAAAAATGAACTATGGAAAAAAACGCCATCGAGGCAATATTTTAAACGACAATTGGAGTGAATGTTGATCCAATGGCGCACAACATTACGTAACTTTTTCTGACATTTTATAATAATCTGAACTTGGCAGCAACCAAGCCGTGGCTTTCATGCAAAGAAGAGCATAATGATAATAATAACAGGAAGCAATTACTATTCCATTTAAAGAAGCCGTTATCCGTCTGTCGAAACGAAGCATGTCAAATTGAACTGTGCGACGACAAGCGTAATCTTTTGTTGTGTGTTTGACTAAGGATAACGTATACGGTCATATCCGCCTGAGTGACCGAGTACGTAAAGTCTCGACTAACAACTCAATGATCATGGGTTCAAATCTCAAGTACGGTAGAGATTTCAATAAAGTCGATACCCGTAGGTGCGGATGCAACATATTCTCGTGTTAAAGGATAAGCAGGGCAACCAAAACAAAATGAACAAACTAAGAAACAACTAAAGTGAATTTTTATCTTACTTTACTCACTTCATTGAAATACTTGCACAAGTACAAGTACAAAAAATGTTGCCGACAGTGTTATTAGAACTTACCAAGAAAAATTTGATTGCACTTCAATTATTCTACAGAACAGAGTAGAATGTAGGTATTTAGAAATTTGTACATATTTACAATATGTCTGTGATGACATTTTAATTAAATTTTATAAATATAAATAAGTATATCGGAGAATAAAAGTAAACAAACATATATTTGTGTGCTTCGTTTCGTTTACAGAAGCAATTTAATGCCTCTTCGGCAAATACCCAAAACTTGAATTTCAATTTTTATTTATTTAAGTTTTTCCGATTCGAAATCTTCTCGTGTGTGAGAATGTGTATTTTTAGTTACAATCAACAAAAAGAAAATATATTACACACAAACGCGAGGTAAAGTCGCCCAATGTCTGGTTGCACCGTTGCGAACTAAACTAAAATACTAACAAAGCAAACTTAAACAATTTCAAATTTATTAATGATTGGGCCAGAAATCCGGCGGTACTGCAATACCGGCCCGACCCGCGACAGAAGTGGAGCAAGCCCCTAACTTTCCGTCTAATTCCAAAAATCAGTTTAACATTTGTTGCCCTCCGATGGAGGATCTATCAGATGTTAAGCTGATAAGAACAGATACTACACTTTGATCTTAGCCATAAGGCCGAGAAG